GACCGGCCTAACCTAACGAGGTGCAAAAATTCCTGAACGGAATAATTGTCTGTTTCAATATCGGAACAATAATAAACACTAGTCACAATTTTAACCGCTTGGCTTGAATTTTTGCCTTTATCGAAAAAAAGTAAAATGTACCGAATTTTCCCTTTGTACACTTCCATTTTTAACACCCTGTAACTCACAAATGAATGCACCAAAACAAAAAAACAGAAAATAATTTTTTACTGCGAAATTTCACCCTTCCAACGAGCATAAATTTGAAATGGTTTGATCGATACTTTACGAGAAATCTATCAGTACATCCATCTGCCGAAACAATAATGGATTTATTTTTCACCAAAATAATATTAAAATGAAAAGGTGTACGATATATTTGTCTATACCTTCTTTAAAAAAACCAGTAAGGAAAGTAGTAAAGTCGGACGGGGCCGAATATATGATACCCTTCACCACATTGGGTATATTCAACATTTTTAAAGGACCAGTAAAATGAAATTGGAGCCATAAATATTTTATTCTGCAACCGATACTAAATTTTTTCATTTGGTCAGAATAGAAGCTATATCTAAATCTGAACCGATTTTCAAGAAAACTTAACACACATCATTCTGGACCTAATTCATTACGCTTAAGGGACTTTGATACACCATTTACCTTAAATCGGACGAAAATATATATGAGAGCTATATCTAAATCTGAACCGATTTTCAAGCAACTTAACACACATCATCCTAGACCTAATTCATTACGCTGTGCCAAATTTCATGCAAATCGAAATATATTAAGAGACTCTGGTACACCATTTACCTTAAATCGGACGAAAATATATATGGGAGCTATATTTAAATCTGAATCGATTTTCATGAAATTTAACACACATCATTCTAGACTTAATTCATTACGATGTGCCAAATTTCGTGCAAATCGAAATATATTAAGGGATTTTAGTGCACCATTTACCTTAAATCGGACGAAAATATATATGGGAGCTACATCTAAACCTTAACCGATCTTCAAGAAACTTAACACACATCACTCTATACCTTATTCAATACGCTGTGCCAAATTTCGTGCATATCGAAAGATATGCACTTTGGTGCACCATTTACATTAAATCGGACGCAAATATATATGGGAGCTATATCTAAATCTGAACCGATTTTCAGGAAACCTAACACACATCATTCTAGACCTAATTCATTACACTGTGCCAAATTTCGTGAAAATCAAAAGATATAAAGGACCTTTGGTACACCATTTACATATATAGGACCTTTGGTACACCATCTAAATTTGGACCGATTTTCAGGAAACTCAAAACACATCATTCTAGACCTAATTTTGTACGCCGTGCCAAATTTCGTGCAAATCTAAGGATATATAGGGACCGTTTACATTAAATCGGGCGAAACTATATATGGGAGCTATATCTAAATCTTTACTGATGTTTCCCAATTTCGTCCTTGGGACAAATAAGGTATCTGTGCCAAATTTTATCCAATTCGGATCATAAATGCGGCATGTACTTTGTTTACAATTTAACATGGACAGACAGACGGACGGAGGACGAACATGCACAAATCGACTCATAAAGTGATTCTATGCATATTCTCAAAAGTAACCATGAGTCTATCTCGTTTCCTTTTGCGTGTTACAGACATACGCACAAAAGAGGCAAAATTGTTGAAGCTGCGCTAAGTGAACGGGATCACGTGCACCTGACGATATATGTTGTTTTGTATACTCTCCACCATAGTATGGAGGGTATATTAATTTTGTTTTACCGTTTGTAACTCATAGAAATAATCATTTCCGATAAAATATATATATTTTTTATCAGCGTAAAATTCTATGACGATATAGACATATCCGTCTGTCTGTCCTCTAACTCTAGCGTCAAAACGAATTGAGATAGATTCAAAAGTTTGCATAGAGTATTTTGTCTTTTGTCTGCAGGCAGGTCACGATGATGGGCTTTATCGGTCCACGTTTAGGTATAGCTCCCATATAAGGGTACCCCCCAATTTTCGGTATTTGTGTGTTCTTAAGCGCGTTTTCCAACCGAATTTGCTGAAACTTGCTACATTGGGTTCTCATTGGGAACTAAATGTCTCCACAAAAATTATAAATATAGGTTCACTTTTTCTGGTAGCCCCCATATAACGGTACCTCCTAATTTTCAGTAGTTTTGGGGTTTTAATCGTATTTTTCCGCAGAAATAGCTGTAATTTAGTATTTTGAGTTCTTAATAGGTACCAAATCTCTCCACAAAAATATCAATATAGGTCCATTTTTTCGGATAGTCCCCATATAAGATTAACCATCCCGGCCCCCCATTATCGGTATTTTGGGGATCTTGAGCGCGTTTTTCAACCGAATTTGTTGCAATTTGGTATTTTGTAGTCGTATATGGTAACAAATCTCCCTACCAAAAATTATTAATATTCCTTTTTGGGGTAAACCCCCTTTTTATACCCTTCACCACACTGTGATACAGGGTATTATGTCTTTGTGCATATGTTTGTAACAGACAAAAGGAAACGAGATAGACACATGGTTCCTTTTGAGAATATGCATAGAATCACTTTCTAAGTCGATTTATGCATGTCCTTCCGTCCGCCTGTCCGTCTGTCTGTCTGTGCATGTTAAATTGTAAACAAAGTACAGGTCGCATTTATGCTCCGAATTGGATGAAATTTGGCATATGTCACTTATTCGGCCCAAGGACGAACCCTATTGATATTGGGAAAAATCAGTTCAGATCCAGATATAGCTCATATATAGATATAGCTCTCATATATAGAATTGTCGTTTCCGATTTCATGTATATATAGAATTTCATATAAATGGTGCACCAAAGTCCCTATATATCCTTCGATTTGCACGAAATTTGGCATAACGTACTGAAATGAGCCTAGAATGATGTCTGCCAAGTTTCGTGAAAATCGGTCCATATTTCTATATAGCTCCCATATATATCTATATAGCTCCCACATAGAAAATCGGTCCAGATTTCTATATAGCTCCCACATATAGTTTCGTCCGATTTCATGTAAATGGTGCACCAAAGTCCCTATATATCCTTCGATTTGCACGAAATTTGGTACAACGTACTGAATTGAACCTAGAGTGATGTCTGACAAGTTTCATGAAAATCGGTCAAGATTTAGATATAGCTCCCATATACTTTTTCGACCGATTTAATGTAAATGGTGCACCAAAGTCCACATATATCTTTCGATTTGCACGACATTTTGCATAGCGTACTGAATTTAGTCCAGAATGATGTGTGCCAAGTTTCGTGAAAATCGGTCCAGATTTAGATATAGCTCCCTTTTATTATAGATTGATTGAACCAATAGGCTGATAGGAACAAAACGTTCTGAAATTACTATAACTTAACCTGTGACATGTTTGTTTGAAATCGCTTAATATTTGGATAGAGCTTCCATATATATTTCGCCGATTTCAAGTAAATGGGGCTTCAAACTCCTCATGTTTGTCAGATTGACATCAAATTTTGCACAACTTACAAAATTGAGCATAGAATGACGTAGTTGCGTTTTCTAGAAGTACAGACATAGCCCAACGGTGACCTATTTATATTTGTTTGAAGTCGATTTACATACTATATGGATAGATCTAGGTAGATTACTACTTTCCTTACTGGTTATATATTAAAATAGTTATCTGATTTGTTCCGAGTTTTGAGTTTGGTTCTAAGACTCTGTTGTAATAATTTCGCCTGTGGAGGATAGCGAGATAAAAATTAGAACGTAGGGTTCGATAATGAACAATAACCGCAGTTAGACCAAGCCCCTGTATGGAGGTTCCAGAAGGAGTGGACTGATATTCCCCATCTTCGAATTTGAACTAGGTTTGGAAGAAATAACAATATGGGCAAATTTTGGATGAAATCTTTATTTTCTGAAACGGATTTGGTCCAAAGAAACATGGGGTCTATAACCAATATTTCGATGAGGTTCATTTTCACCCTTAGCTATAAGGCTGAGGGTATAATTATCCATTAAATCCGTTTTTAGAAATGTCGGTATAGGTCCACCTTTTGGTATGTTCCTATATTTTCATTTCTAGTACCTGCCAGTGGTTGAGGTTATCCAAAGTTCAGCCCGGCCGAACTTAACGCTTTATCACTTGTTTTATTTTAAATTTCTTTCATCCACTGCCAAGAGAAGTAAAGAACATAGCGCACTGATTTCTATAGAACTTCGAATATCAGGCAGAGGGTATCCAAAGTTCAGCCCGGCCGAACTTAACGCTTTTTCACTTGTTTTATTTTAAATTTCTTCCATCCACTGCCAAGAGAAGTAAAGATCACTTTAAATGCTTGAATAGAAACCGCAATGGTCTCTAGTTTTTCTTTCAACAAATGGAACTGCAAGTATGCATTCTGGGCACTTGGTGTGTCAACAACATCTTTGCAGAAAATGTTCATGCTTTTAAATTTGATATAGAACCAATATATATAATGCCCCACATTTGTCTGATTGGGTCGAAATTAAGTTCTTTTTGAAATTGGCATTATATTCGAATATTCCGTATATATTTTTGATCGATTTAATTTATATCGTGTACCAAATATCCAAACTCTGTCCGTAATTCTGACGAATTCGCTCTACACCTTCAGCCTTTTAAATCTATGACTTTGAACGGTTATTATTTATTTGAGCGTCTGCTTACATTGTTTCGATAAGTGAATTTTCTAATTGTGTCGCTTCTTCCAAACAAGAAAAAAATGGGTCGCTGCGATTTTCAGTTGACTCTGTCAGAGCTAGATGTTTACAACTCCTGACAACACAAACTGTGTAAAAATATGATTTGCATGGCATTTCTCCAGTTACCATTAAAATCTCAAATCGTGTAGTTTTTTTCACATTTTATTTTTCATTTAATATGCTGACAGTTTATACACATATTTGATAGATATATCAACTGGATAATATTTTTTGAAGACTAAAAGGAAAATCCATTTCTTACATTGCACTTTCGACAATAGCTACAAAGGTCAACTGCCATTTGACAGCACCGTATCCGGTCATAACAACTTTGTAAAATCCTTCCTGTAAATGTTGTGGAAACTCATCTGGATCGATTTGACATTTATTCAAAGTATAAGTCTTCTTCTCCAATGGTGGCTCAAATTCATCTTCAAAAACTGGCATATTGGAACAGCCTTTAAATGTTTCCATAACGAGATCTTTATAGAATGTACTAAGATAGCTGAATAAATGTTGACGCTCCACTCTAAATGGTATGGGTTTATATTCTTTGACACCATTTTCACTACGATAGACATTAAATTCAATCTGTAAAATAAATGATGGCATTTTCATGGGCTTACACGAAATGCGTTAACCTATATTGACCTCATTATCATCGCCTTCAACAATATCATAATTTACAGCCATACTTCCTGAGGCTGCGTACACACCGCGACTTATGCGATCCACAGACCAATCGAAGAAATTTATTAGCTCCGGATTATCCGAATAGGTTTCAATTGATTTCAGTTCAAAGGTCCACGTTGGCTATAATTTTGTGTGTTTTCATAAAATAAAATAATTGAAATGACAGTTGGAATAAATTATATTTCTATGTAGTTACACCTTCATTTTGTAGTAATCCCTCATAACTGTGGCTTTCACCAGGTTCGTTGTAACCAACAATGTAATTATTACAGTTATTCCGCGATTTACGTTCATTGCACCTATTTACGATTAATATATCGTGGTATATTTTAACGGCGAATTTATAATAATTGGAGAGCTGAACTCCGTTGACAATCAGCTTGTAATTATAATGAGATCATTTCAATTAGAAACAATTGCATGACATTGTTTTTGATAAAAATCGACATTGGATATTTAATTAGTCTTTGTTGGTAGTATGGAAATAAAGTACAGAGTCAAATTGATTTATTTCATTTGTAATATTTTATATATATTTCGGACACCCAGTAGTTTATGACACTATGCAACAAAATCGAAACCATGTTCTGGGTGAATGGAAAATTCCTTATGGGGATGAAAGCTCTTGGCGAATTGATTAAACAACAAGGCGGACATATTCCTCATAGGTACATTTTTGAGGTACGTCGTGATGTAGGTTATTTTTGGGAAGTATTGTCTTCAGTCAAACCGAATCAGGAATATCCTTCTTTTATCTCTAAGCCATGTTTTATTGAACAATAAACTAAATACTACAAGGCGAAGCATCCAAATATTTGACCAAAGGCATATGACGCTCATAATATTTTACAAAGAGTGCCTAAAATAAAAAAATCGATTTTCGTATGTTTCCATTGTCCTGTTCCACTTTGGCCAGATTATTTCTCCGAAATTTTAGATTATGAAGAACTGTCGGATATGTCCGAAATGTTTATCTGCGACAATTTTTATGATTTCAAAATTAAGGAAAACTCGTAAGATACAAACACTTATAACATTTTTATATCTCCATCATAAGGTGGGGTGTATATTAAATTTGTTATTCCGTAAGCAAATCATCGAGATATTTACCGGAGACCCCATATACGATATATTTTCTTGATCACAATAAAATTTTGTGTCGATTTATGCGTGTCCGGAAGTCACGATAGAGATTGCAATATTTAGTTAGAGCTTTCCTATTACTCCTAGGATGTTTAGTATTGCAAATGGGGTATATCCCCAAATATTCGGTATTACTGACACGTTTTTCAACCGAATAGGCTGTTATTTGCTACACTTGCTTCTCATTGACTATCAAATCTGTCCACTAAATTATTAATATTGGTCCAGGTATTTAGGATAGCCCCCATATAATGTTACCTTCCGATATTCGGCATTTTTATGCATTTCAAACTATTTGAAAGCAATTTTATATTTTGGATTCTCATTGAGTAGAAAATGTCCCATTATTCGGTATTTTGGGCACTTTTTAAACCGCATTGGCACTAATTTTATTATTCAGTTTTTCATGGGGTATTTTGAAGAATTAAGCTTATGATCCGATTTGAATGAAATTTGGCACAGGTCACTTATTTGGCTCAACGACGAACCCTATTGAAATTGGAGAAAATCGGTTCAGATTTAAATATAGCTCCCACATATAGTTTCGTTAGATGTTAAATAAATAATGCACAAAAAACTCAAAGTTAAGCCCATTGACACAAAATTTTCGCTTAATGTTTAGGGGATGAAATAGACCAAATTCTTAATTTTTGTCGGTTTTTCTGGTCGCTCTGGAGGCCGCAGTTATGACCCAAACATCTTCAATTTTTACATGGAGAAGGGGATTGGGCCAAAGAATAAGCATGTCTGTTTTCAAAACGATCGGTCAATATTTAGCGGGTTGTGTGAAAAATTACAAAATTTGTATTCTATAGCATATATATTTATTCCTGAAGGACAAGAGGTATGGCTGGCCTTTAAATTGACACCAATTATATTGTCGTATGTACTAAGATGTGGGAGTTACACGTAAATATTTACAGGTGCTTACGTATATTATATAATAAACTATTACCACACTAGAGGTCGGAAATGTAGCGCCGATCGCTTTGAAATGTTCCATGAGGTTCTAGTTATGGTCAACGACAACGTCTTTAATTTTCGGTGATGATCAGATAATAATTTTGGGATAAAGTGGACCGAAAACTTTTTTGTTGTTTTTTTCGATTCGATCTATAGGCTAATGTACATCACAATTGGATTATGGACAAGTAATTAGAAGGATTGTACTGAATATTGGTAATTTTCGGAAAATATATCAGTGTAAGGAAGTGCTGTTGACCTGTAATCGGGCAAGAGAGTGCTACTATCACGAAATATTACCCAGGATCGAAAAAAAACACAGAAAGATAGATCGTATGGTCGGCCGCGTCCGACTATACTGATCCGCTCACTGGTTTTATAATCGGTTCAGATTTGAATTTAGCTCCCATATATATTTTTGTCCGATTTTAAGTAAATGGTACACCAAAGACCTAAATTTAATCCAATTGCCACAAAATTTTGCAAAATGTACTTAAATTTTGTTCAGATTTGGATATAGCTTCCATATATATTTTTATGCTTTGAATTTAGCGGTTTTAAACGTTTTAAAATTTCTTTAATTTAATTTTCAAAGTTTAGAGTATGGCAACGATTTTCACCGCTTTTAAGACATTTTTACGCAAAAAATCTTACAGATTCATAAAATTTGACATGTTTTCTTTTTAATGACATCAAAAAATATTTTATTTTCCAAAATTGAAAAAATTAATTTTTGCCCAAAAAACTTTCCAAATTACAAATGACATGTTTACGGATTGGTCTACGTCGGTTAACAGTTAGATAATGATCCAATTTCATGTCAATAGTCCTCCAAAAATTCGACGTCGGTTAAGATGCTTCTGCTTAATATATCCATAGTGGCGACTTTACTGATTTCCTTACTAATTTATCACATAATACCCTACATAGTTTGGGATTCTAAGACGATTTAGGCGATTTGGCCATCTGTTGTAATTATTCTACCTTCGTAGGATATCAAGATAAAAACTAGAACGTCAGTTTGGAGAACGAACTATATATATCGGCCTCAATACTATACAATTTTATACAATACAACTTTTTAGTTGGAGATGTGGAGGAGGCACTTTGTATACAAAAACATTGAAATGCTTTGAATCGTGGAGAACGTCCGAAATTGATTTGAAAAAACTCCAATCAACATTGAAGTTATGGACCTATCGACACGATGTTGCGTACAGATTCTGGCCAAAGAACACCTATTGTTTTTTCGGAAATCGAATTAATCAAAAACTTTATTTTTATTAATGACCCGAAATTCACCAACATTTACATACTAATGATCCGAACACCACGAACTTGTAACGGGGATATGAGGGGACAATTAAGTACTTTGAATTAATTTCAATCATTTTGACGGATGTGATCGGTTACACTAAAAATTTCCACAAGTGTCTATATATTCCAGTCCGATTTTTCGATATTAGTTTAGTTTATTTATGCAATTTTTTTCGATATAAGTTTAAAAAAAAACTTACCCTGTTCTCGAGTACAAATACTTGACTGAAAGTTTGAATGCATGTTAATATTATTATTTTAATAATTTTGCAAATCATTGAAATTTTCAAATTTATCTGATTTAGTTTTTATCTCCTCCGGAAATCGCAATCAGATATTGAATTGCACTTTAAATATTATCAGATAATTTCTGTTTTTAATTAAAAAGAACATAAAGATCAATTTCCAATTACATATAAATAGCCAACACATAATACACAATTTACAGTACACAAGAAAATGTGGGGGAATTTTGTAAAATCACTTCAGTTTGCGCTAGTCGCCTGTACGACCTTGATTATGGCACAAATAAGCGACATGGGATTTGAGGTGGGTATTATAAATAATTAAGTTAACCTTACTGAACCAACTTTTTACCCACCAGCAAACATGGACCTATGAACTAAAATCCATTGAACCACTTACTTCAGATCCGGATAAAGTAGAATTTGGAGAATTTAAGGTAGAACGTATTAGTCGTGGCGTCTATGCCTGTACGGGGTCTTTTACAATAAATACCGATGTTGTTGAGGGCGATTCGCACATGGTAAATAATATAACAATATCTTTATAATTTATCCAGCCATTACATTTACATCGAATGTTTTAGATCGAATTCCATGCCTATCGCAGTGAAAATGGCAAAGATTTTAAACCCATTCCCCTGAAAACACCGCGTTAACATTTGTACGAGTACTTTAATACATTCTACAAAGATTATGCCATGAAGACGTTAAAGAATTGTTCAAATATGCCAGCATTTGAGGATAAATTTCAACCACCATTGGAGAAGAAGACGTACGTTTTAGAAAAGTGTCAATTTGATCAGTCGGCTTTCCCTCAACATCTTCAGGAGGGTTTCTATAAAATCGATATGGCCGGTAGTGGAGATGTGGAATGGCATTTTATATTTGTTGTGGAGGTAGAGATGAAATAGACGTTTTGGAATACTTAGATTGACAGATGTGTTAAAAAATGAAAGATGATAAATATAGAAAAACAATACTAACTATATTGGAATTTATAAATATATATATAAATATACGCGGGTTTTAATGTCATATGTCTTCGAAATTTAAAAAGAATATATAATTATTTTACGAAACAAATCATTTCAGAGGGAGCCCCATCACTCAGATCCTCTACCTCGAGTATATCCTTAAATAGTTTACCTTAAATTACCTCTTTGGCACCTATCATAAATTTTAATGTTAATAGTAAAACACAGGCCAAAAGTTATATGGATATATTTCGTTTATATTAATTTGTGTACCCTTCGTCAAACTGTGGTATAGGATATTATGTATGCATATGTTTATAATAGGCAAAAGAAAACGCGATAAACCAATGCTTCTCTTTGATGATATAGACTCACTTTCTGAGTCGGTACACGAAATCCTGTACATTTCTTTCGATTTACTCGAAATTGTCCACAGCGTATGGATTGAGTCTACAATGATGCGTGCTAAGTTTCATTAAAATCTATGTCTGTTCTATCGACAGGTTTATTGGACATTTGTCTCCAAAATCATTAGAGGAGGATGTTTATTATGCTTCAAATAAGATCTTAGGATTATATATTGTATACTAGCATATGCCTGCAACTTCGTTAGCGAGTACCATTTAGTACAAAATTTCATGATTTGAGCTCTAATCCAAATTTTCCAATTAGAACACATTATTTATTTCCATAAGTACCCTGTTCAACCATCCAACAAACTTCATGCATACCCCGATCCTACACCCCCACAATGATTCCAGATTCAAATTACAGGATTCCAACTCTATTGGTTCACCCACAATTTAAGATGTACCAAATTTAGTACACAGTAGTACGAATTTCCAAAACTATATACCCCAATCCTACATCCCGACAGTGATTCTAAACCCAAGTTTCATGATTTCAATTCCATAGGTTAACCCACAATTCAAATTGTACCAAATTTTGTACACAGAAGTACCAATTGCAAAATTTCCTATATATCCCATCCTACCCCCTACCCCCTCCCCCCACAGTGATCCTAAATCCAAATTTCAGGATTCTAACTCTATCGGTTTACCCACAATTTAAATTGTACCAAACTTAGTACACAGTAGTACTTATTTCTAAAACCTTCTTCCTACCCCAAACCTACACTCCAACAGTCATCCTAAATCCAATTTTCAGAATTCTAACTCTATTGGTACACCCGCTATTCAAATCGTACAAAATTTAGTACATAGTTGTACCAATTTCCAAAAACTTCTTACATACCCCAATCCTACACCCCCACCGTGATCCAAAATCCAAGTTTCACAGTAGTACGAATTTCAAAAAACTTCTTACTTAACCCAAACCAACACCCCCACAGTGATCCTAAATCTAAGTTTCAGGATTCAAACTCTATCATTTCACCCACAATTCTAATTGTACCAAATTTAGTACAAAGTAGTAAGAATTTCCAGAACCTCCTTCTTACTGCAAACCAACACCCCAACAGTGATCCAAAATCCAAGTTTCAAGATTCCAACACTATCGTTTTCGCCCACAATTTAAATTGTACAACATTTAGTACCAATGTCCAAAACTTCCTACATACCCCAATTCTACACCTTCACAGTGATCCTAAATAAAAAGTTAATGATTTCAACTCTATCACTTCACCCACAATTTCAATTGTACCAAATTTAGTACACATTAGTACAAATTTCTAAAACTTCCTACATATTTCAATCTTACACTTTAACAGTGATCCTGACTCCAAATTTCATGATTCTAGCTCTATTGGTTCACCTAAAATAAAAATGTACCAAATGTAGTACCATTTAGTACCCATAAATATTAATTTGTTAAACTGAATCCCGACCCTAATCCTACACCCCTACAATGATCCTCCAAACATCTTTGTTCCAGCTCTATCGGTTCACTCAAATCCAAATTGTACCAATTACAGTACGATTTAGTACTTTTCGTACACATAAGTAAACATTTCCAAAACTGCGTACATATCCCAATCCTACACGACGGTAATGTTACTTTCAATTTTAAGGGATCCAGCTCGATTTGTACCACCAAATCATATTTGTACCAAATATAGTACTTTCCGTACACATGAGTACACGCTTTCCAAACTCTCCTCATATCGACCCTAATTCTCAACCTTAATTTGCATTCCAAATTTCAAGTTTTTAGCTCAATCCATTCACATGGTACGAAATTGTACCAAATTTTGTACATTTCAGTACTTTTCGGATACTTATAGTTCAAATTTCAAATTTCTATTCTACACTCCATCAGTGACCCTCAATCCAAATTTCACAGTTGTAGCTCTACTGGTTCGCCAAATACAAATGATACCATATTTTGTATTTTTTTTTACCGTTCTAGTACGAATTTCCAATAACCCAGCCTTATCTGTCACCTTTGGACCGAGAGTGACAATCACCTGAAATTTCAAGATTCTAGCTTCAGCCGTTTCGTCTGGGCGTTGATGAATCGTTAAATCAGTCAATCACTTTACTCTTTTATTAGTATAGATTAAATTTGTACCAAATATAGCACCATATGGTACTTTTCGTGCACATGAGTACACGCTTTCAAAACCATCTCCTTAAATAGACTCTCAACCCTAATTCGCATTCAACATATCAAGTTTTTAGCTCAATCCATTCACATGCTACGAAATTGTACCAAATTTAGTACATTTCAGTACTTTTCGGATAGTTATAGTTCAAATTTCCAAAAAGTCCGTTGTTGCATCTATTGTACACCCCAACAGCGACCACCAATCCAAATTTCAGAGTTTTAGCTCTACCGGTTCGCCAAATACAAATGGTATCACATTTAGTACTTTTCGTAACGTTCTAGTACGAATTTCCAAAAACCCAACCTTATCTGTCACCTTTGGACCAAGAGTGGCCCTCAACCAAAATTTCATGATTATAGCTTTAGCCGTTTCATCTGGGCGTTGATGAATCGTTAAATCAGTCAGTCAGTCAGTCAGACAGTCAATCTCTTTACTCTTTTATTAGTATAGATAGATAACCTTACAGGTTATGTTAAAAAAAAAACTTTATTTATTTATTTTCTTTTTTTGGGTTTCTAATAAATTCCATCAATTAAAATTCATTTAATGTTCTTATCAAATATTTGTTAGTACAACATTTACACGTCATAAAAATTATACCGATTACAATATATCTGATCCTTGAATGAAGAATAGATCTGTTTTAATTTGTTTATTTTGATATATAATGCAATTGTAATTAAATTGAGTCAATTAAATTCCTGCAATCATATCATCAAATTTTAGTAATTCATTTGGAACATGTATGGCATCTGATCAGATTAAATCTTAATATTTATTAAAAATTTGAATTAAAAAAATCATGTCAATAATTCTATATGTGAAAACCTAAAATGATTCTGGAAAATCTTGTATAAATATCCCAGTGTTCATAACCAAAAGTCAGTACACGCTGAGTATCAGCATGAAGTTGTCTTTTGGAATTGTTGCCCTTTGGGCTGTGATTTTCTACTCCTCAATGGTATTGGTAAAATCACTTCTGGATGAGGTAATTATTCTTAGATATATTACAAAAATTTCAATTATTTCTGACTATACTAACTATAGCAAACATGGAAATATGAATTGAAATCCATTGAAACGTATTCATCTGATCCCGAGAAGGTTACTTTTGGTGAATGCAAATTGGAGCGTATTAGTCGTGGCGTTTTCGCTGTTATGGGTAGTTTTGATATTCAATATGATGTACATGAGGGTGATTCGAATACGGTTGAAGTCAATTCATTTCGCAGTGCCAATGGCAAAGACTATCATCCGTTGCCTTTTAAAACGCCTCGTCAACATATTTTCGACTATTTCAACACTTTCTACAAGGACTATGCTATGGATATTTTAAAGGATTGTTCCAATTTACCAGCATTTGAAGATAAATTTGAGCCACCATTTGAGAGGGGTGTATACTATTTGGATAAATGTCAATTCGATCAGGAATCTTTTCCACAACATTTGCAAGAGGGTTTCTATAAGGTCAACATGAGTTTCCATGGGGATGTTGAATGGTATATTGTTTTTGTTGCCGAGGTGCAAAGCAAAGTCTAAATGTGGTGGTTTTTATTATCATTTTGTGCAATTTTTGAAGAAAAAAAGTTATGATAAAAATATTTATGTTATTTGAATTTTGCCTTGTAAGGGCAGTGATCATTTGAAAGTAATTTTAAGTGGTTATTTATACTCTTTCGAGTCGAGCTTGATGATCTAAGTTTTGCAATGAAAAGGAAAGCCAGGAGAAGAACCTACGTACCCACCATTATGCGACGCGTTTCGCCGTTGGTTAAGCGGCTCATCAGGCATATTGGGCTATGTGGCTTTACAAATGTCGTACGTTGATAACATGTATTTATTCCGCCCTGATGCGAAACTTGCATATGCGAATTAATTTCAAATTTGTCAAAGTTCGACATTTGTCTTCATTCTAGGAACAGTCCTTTTCAAAGCAGATTTTTGTTGTAGAGATGGATAATTAATCCACACACCTACAATTGCTTCCTGGTATACACATGTTTTTGCGCAACCGTTTTTGGAAGTGTTGATGGCTCAGAACGTTAAGCGGTCTTGGCAACATTAGTGTTGCTCAGAGGACCTAAGTTCGAGCCCTAGCCGTGCTCGGCTGAAATTAATTTTTGTTATTTGAATTTTGCCTTGTAAGGGCAGTGATCATTTGAAAGTAATTTTAAGTGGTTATTTATACTCTTTCGAGTCGAGCTTGATGATCTAAGTTTTGCAATGAAAAGGAAAGCCAGGAGAAGAACCTACGTACCCACCATTATGCGACGCGTTTCGCCGTTGGTTAAGCGGCTCATCAGGCATATTGGGCTATGTGGCTTTACAAATGTCGTACGTTGATAACTTGTATTTATTCCGCCCTGATGCGAAACTTGCATATGCGAATTAAATTCAAATTTGTCAAAGTTCGACATTTGTCTTCATTCTAGGAACAGTCCTTTTCAAAGCAGATTTTTGTTGTAGAGATGGATAATTAATCCACACACCTACAATTGCTTCCTGGTATACACATGTTTTTGCGCAACCGTTTTTGGAAGTGTTGATGGCTCAGAACGTTAAGCGGTCTTGGCAACATTAGTGTTGCTCAGAGGACCTAGGTTCGAGCCCTAGCCGTGCTCGGCTGAAATTAATTTTTGTTATTTGAATTTTGCCTTGTAAGGGCAGTGATCATTTGAAAGTAATTTTAAGTGGTTATTTATACTCTTTCGAGTCGAGCCGCTTAACCAACGGCGAAACGCGTCGCATAATGGTGGGTACGTAGGTTCTTCTCCTGGCTTTCCTTTTCATTGCAAAACTTAGATCATCAAGCTCGACTCGAAAGAGTATAAATAACCACTTAAAATTACTTTCAAATGATCACTGCCCTTACAAGGCAAAATTCAAATAACAAAAATTAATTTCAGCCGAGCACGGCTAGGGCTCGAACCTAGGTCCTCTGAGCAACACAAATGTTGCCAAGGACCGCTTAACGTTCTGAGCCATCAACACTTCCAAAACGGTTGCACAAAAACATGTGTATACCAGGAAGCAATTGTAGGTGTGTGGATTAATTATCCATCTCTACAACAAAAATCTGCTTTGAAAAGGACTGTTCCTAGAATGAAGACAAATGTCGAACATTGACAAATTTGAATTTAATTCGCATATGCAAGTTTCGCATCAGGGCGGAATAAATACAAGTTATCAACGTACGACATTTGTAAAGCCACATAGCCCAATATGCCTGATGAGCCGCTTAACCAACGGCGAAACGCGTCGCATAATGGTGGGTACGTAGGTTCTTCTCCTGGCTTTCCTTTTCATTGCAAAACTTAGATCATCAAATTCGACTCGAAAGAGTATAAATAACCACTTAAAATTACTTTCAAATGATCACTGCCCTTACAAGGCAAAATTCAAATAACAAAAATTAATTTCAGCCGAGCACGGCTAGGGCTCGAACCTAGGTCCTCTGAGCAACACTAATGTTGCCAAGACCGCTTAACGTTCTGAGCCATCAACACTTCCAAAAACGGTTGCGCAAAAACATGTGTATACCAGGAAGCAATTGTAGGTGTGTGGATTAATTATCCATCTCTACAACAAAAATCTGCTTTGAAAAGGACTGTTCCTAGAATGAAGACAAATGTCGAACTTTGACAAATTTGAATTTAATTCGCATATGCAAGTTTCGCATCAGGGCGGAATAAATACAAGTTATCAACGTACGACATTTGTAAAGCCACATAGCCCAATATGCCTGATGAGCCGCTTAACCAACGGCGAAACGCGTCGCATAATGGTGGGTACGTAGGTTCTTCTCCTGGCTTTCCTTTTCATTGCAAAACTTAGATCATCAAATTCGACTCGAAAGAGTATAAATAACCACTTAAAATTACTTTCAAATGATCACTGCCCTTACAAGGCAAAATTCAAATAACAAAAATTAATTTCAGCCGAGCACGGCTAGGGCTCGAACCTAGGTCCTCTGAGCAACACTAATGTTGCCAAGACCGCTTAACGTTCTGAGCCATCAACACTTCCAAAAACGGTTGCGCAAAAACATGTGTATACCAGGAAGCAATTGTAGGTGTGTGGATTAATTATCCATCTCTACAACAAAAATCTGCTTTGAAAAGGACTGTTCCTAGAATGAAGACAAATGTCGAACATTGACAAATTTGAATTTAATTCGCATATGCAAGTTTCGCATCAGGGCGGAATAAATACAAGTTATCAACGTACGACATTTGTAAAGCCACATAGGCCAATATGCCTGATGAGCCGCTTAACCAACGGCGAAACGCGTCGCATAATGGTGGGTACGTAGGTTCTTCTCCTGGCTTTCCTTTTCATTGCAAAACTTAGATCATCAAGCTCGACTCGAAAGAGTATAAATAACCACTTAAAAATATTTAAATAAATTTAATTCATTGCATTCAAAATAAAATAATTTTATATAATTGGAAAAAGTTGAATTTAAAGTTTGTCGGGGTTTTCCGAAGGTGCCAAAACCTCGAAACATTCACCGGGGACCAAGAGAGATATACATTGCTGATCAGAATCCAATTCTATGTCGAGATATGCATGTCAGTCTTTTCGTTCGTTTGTTGGAATAACGATAGAGCTTGAAGATTTTGCACATACATTATTATTGCTCCTCCATATAACAGTTTTCTCAAATATTCGGTATTTTGGTGAGTTAGAGTAAGGTACCCAACCAATATATATGGGAGCTATATGTAAATCTTGACCAATTTCAATTAAACTTAGCACACGTCAGGCTATCCAAACTTCCGTACGTTGTGCACAATTTTGTGTCATTCGGCCTAAATTTGACTTTCTGGTGCACCATTTACTGAAAATCGGAAGAACAAACCGATTTTAATAAAACTTGGCATATTAACTTAAGTACGTTGTACAAAATGTTGTGCCAATATATTGGGGCTTTAGTGCACCATTTACTGATAATCGGAAGTAGCAATATATGGGAGCAATATCTAAATCTGAACCCATTTCAAGAAAACTTGACACTTGTTAGGACAAATTAACTTCCGTATGTTGTGCAAAATTGTGTGTGAATCAGCCATATTTTAGGACTTTGGTGAACCTAGGGCCAAATATATGAGCTATGCCAAATTTCATCCAATTCGGATTATAAATGCGTCCTGTACTTTGATTACAATTTAACACCAACAGACGGGCGGAAAGTGATTCTATGCATATTCTCAAAAGGAACCATGGGTCTATCTCGTTTCCTTTTGCTTGTTACAAACATATGCACAAAGACATAGGGTTTACCCTTCACCACAGTGTGGTGAAGGTTATGAAAAACTGCTCTGACAGTTTTCAAAATAGATCCATGGCTCCTATACAAAGGTCCCGATTAATGTTCGTACCACTTAAGAAATTATTAATTCACAGTTAGTTAGGTCCCATCGAACTTATCGAAATGTTTACTTGGTTGAAAAGTTAGTCTTGGCGAAAAAAGGGTAATTTTCAATTATTTATTTTTAAACAACCCTTCTAGCTTCTTTAACACCAACATGTCTTATGTTCGCATTGCTGTGTAGTATTAACTTAAAATATGTCCTCAGCTTCAATTAAACTAACTTATTACTTTATTCCAAATCCTATTGTCTTGTAAAGACAATTCAAAGCTATACAAGTATTTATGGATTTCATTTTGCAAGTGAAAATCCAATTCCTTTTGACTTCTCTTAGCTAAGTAAAATAAAACTTTTCAACAAAATGCTTCTTAAATTTCCCCCCATCCGACAGAGAGTATTTTCAAAGAATTACAAGACTATAGTTTTAACAATGTCTTTAAAATGTCACACTATCAAACTATCTACCTATCCACAAACATAGCGGCAGTCTGTCAGCCAGTCACCACAACAAAACTATTCACTCGATGGTGAAAGGCATTGAATGTTGTTGGCCAACATTACTTAACCTTACAGCAAGCAACCAACCAACAATTCAACCAAACCAAGGCGACTAAATCATTGAAATTGTCTAGAAGAGTCTTTCTATTGAAACAATAGACCACATTTTGGTTGAACGTGTACGTGTTTGTGTTTGAATGAGACGAGTTATCTATCTTACAAAGAGACTTTGACAATAAGTTACTTCGAAATTCAAACAATTGATTTGTTTCATAGAATTGTTGAAATTAATTTAATTTCTGTTCGTTATCTCAATCTCATCGTCATTTGGAAACTGGAAACTTTTTGGAAATCCAACCAATATGGTTCGAAATTAAAGATAGCTGTTGAATGAGTCGAATAGGAGAAGGATTGAAATTGTGCAAAAGTTATTTTATTTTTTGGAATTCAAGTAAAAAATAAATGTATCCTTCAGAGTAAGTAACCAGTAACGGAAGTAGTAAAGTCGGACGGGGCCGACTATATGATGCCCTCACCACTTTGGGTACATATAAGATTTGCTAATATATACAATAACTTATAGATAGAACCAACAAAGCATCTTTGGAGAACCAATAAAATGGAATCGGATGAAATTAAATATGTGATCTACATAGATATATGAACTAA